CAGGTCAAGCTTGAGTTTGTCCCGCCGTTTCCGGCACTATACCGAGACTCTTAGGTATGCCCCTGCAGGTCAAGCTTGAGTTTGTCCCGCCGTTTTTGGCACTATACCAAGACTCTTAGCCAGTCCAAGAATAAGGAAGTTGCTCTGACTCCATCCCATCTGATCTCAACTTTATACCTTTCCCCACAGGCCTTTGGTTTGGAGGCTGAGTGCTTCCTGATTATGACAACAGTGGGCAAAACCAGGAAGAGATTTCTGTTCGCCTTGCTTCAGTGGTTACACTTAGCCCTAAGTAAGGGGTGAGACTTTTGATAGATCTATGTGGCGTCCGGGAGAAAGATGTGGCAGCCTGCTCCCGTAAGGATTACAGCCTTAGAAACCCTGTGGGGCAGTTCTGCTCTGTCCTGTCGGGTCGCTGTGGGTTGGCGTCAACTCAGCAGCAGTGGGTTTGGTTTTTTTGGTTATGTGGAACACAGTGACTTCTGGTTTTTGTAATGTTCTAGAGGCTTTCGATGACATGCGTTTTAGAACTGTTGCATCTGTGAGGCTCTGCCAGGGGACTTCCGTCTTTATCTGCCCTGGTCCCATGCGGTGGGCTGTGGCAGAGACACATGTCCCTTTTCTGGTCCAGGAACCCTTGAATGGTTTGAATATACTGGATCTTACAGGCTTGTGTTCTTGGCAGTTGAAACTAGCAGAATAAAAGCTACTGTGTTTGCAGCCTGGAATCTCTGGCCATTAGGGCAGACCTCAAAGAAACTTCTTCTGAAATGAAGGGGTGTCTTCTTTGACACAGTCCTTACAGACATACCTGAATTCAGAGCATTTTGTGCCCTGAATTACTTCTCTGCAGAAGGCTCGGCTGTGTGGGCATTGTTGGTTCTCTGCTTTATTTAGTAGTTATCTTTTATGGCAGATTATAAAATTTCAGAAAGGCTGTATTCTCTCCTAGGAGAAGTCTTCCTGGAGGGCCAGACAACTGTACCATTCATTACTAATCCAGGCCCACTTCTTTGGCACTAATCACGTTTCGAGCTTCACTCCCCAGGTCTACCAGGTGTCTAGCAGGAGGCTTTAAATAGATTCACCGTTCTTCTTCCAAGGGAGAGCACGGATATCCAAGGGCCACTCTGACCGTAATCTATCATTAATCTTGGGCTAAGTTACGCTACAGTAGCAAAATGACCCCAGTTTTCAGTGACTTACAGCAGCAAAGGTTGTTTCTCTGTTACACTGTATGGCTGTGGCTCTGCTCCAGGTCACATTCATTCCAGGACCCAGATCGAGAGCAGCCCTTGTTTAGGACATGACTAGTCTCCGGGCCGAGGGAAAAGAGAAGCGTAATACAGAAGCTGATTCTTAAAGCTTCCTTAAAAGTGACACAGATCACCTCTGCTCGCATTCCATTAGCCAAAGCAGATGACCCTGATGTCAACCAGGAATGGTGGAGAATATTTTGCAGTTATATGATCTGATACAGAACCACTTCCTCAGGACCTGACAGTCTGGGTGTGGGGCATCTGTTGCCAGTCAGCAGAAGTAAGTAGATCCTGGCTGAAATCCATGCTTGAGGACCACCACAGCTCCAGCTCTCTTACCTGTCCTCAGGCAATGAGACGGTAGTTTTTTTTATTTCGCAGAGGACTTCCTGCCATCTCAAAGTAGTGACCTCAGTGATGGTCAGTGCTCACATCAAGAACCATTTTCCCCTTGCCTGTTCCCTTAGTTTCCTGCAGACTCCACAACTTCCATGGATGTATGCTTCCTACATGCAAGTTGAACTGCTGGTTCCCCCTTCTGGCCTTTGTGAAGAATTCATAAGTAAAGTTATGACATAGATCATGCATATTAAAATCTACAGTCTCTACCTTGAAGCTTCCCCTGTCGACCCTCTTAGCTCTTTTTTACAAATCCTACTGCCACACTTTGAGCCTTATGTTCTCTGAAGTTAACTGGATTTTTGCTTCCTCACCTTAAATCATATACTCACAGTATCTCATCTAGCTTTCTCTCTCCAGTGATGCCCTTTCTCAGATTCTGGTCCATGCTCCGTCACTGGGTATCTTATTCTCCTGATTCATGTTTTATTTTAATGTAGATGAGGCCAATCACTTAAATTCACTAGATTATCATATAATTTACAACTAAAACAGGCCACAGCTGTTTTATCTGTGACACAACCCAACTCTTAGTTCTCAATTCTTGTCTGTCTTATTCCCTGACTACCCATGACTGCTGAAAACTTTAAAAAAAGCTTTTTTTTTGGAAAAGCACGTACATTGTTATAATTCTTAAATATCTTCATAGGGATACCTTTAAAGTGTACTTTTTAGAGATAGAAAGTGTTTACAGATTTGATAAAGTCGGAAATTAAATTTACTACTTAAACTTCAACATTAAGAAAGTTTTCATTAAGAAGTGGCACTTAGGAATCAATATAATATTTTAAAGCCCGTCTCCTACTAGACCTTGAGAATATCTAGCATACTGTACTCCAGCTTTTAAAATAACAGTTCTAGAAGGCAGCTTCCAAAATATTATTCTCCTGTTTTCTTATCTAGATCACAAGAGACGCCTGGAGATGGGCAGCCTCCAGCTTTACCACCCAAACAATCGAAGAAAAACAGTTGGAACCAAATTCATTATTCACACTCTCAGCAAGATCTGGAAGATCATAGTAATGAAACATTTGATGTTCCATCTTCTCCAGAAAAATCTACTGTAAGTAACTTCTTTAAATATTCTCACATTTCTTTGATTTTTTTTTTTTTTTTTCTAATCCTAAATGAAATTTCTTTTGTCCTCGTGGCATGTTTTAGCTGTAAGTTATGTTACAGTACTTTCTCTTTGCCATCATACTGTTTGGTCATGAACTGTGCCATTATGTAAAACACTTGTGGCATTTTCTTTTATCATCATTTATAAAATGCTTACTGCTCCAGAAGTTAAGTTCTTGACAGATTTATGTTGATTTCAGTCTTGTAGTACAGTGGTTAAGAGCTCGGGCTGCTAACCAAAAGGTTGGCAGTTAAAATCCACTGGCCACTCCTTGGAAACTCTATGGGACAGTTCTCCTCTGTCCTGTAGGGTTGCCATGCGTTGGAATCAACTCAACAGCAATGGGTTTGGTTTTTGTTTGGTTTTCAGTCTTGTAAAACACACCCACATTTCCAGAACAAATGCTGATAATTCATTAAATGCCAATAACTTTACTAGATAATTCACTTAGAGCAGAGATTTTATAATTTTCATGGACCTTGTGAAATTGAGTACATGCTCTTAGAGTATGAAAATTCTCTATTCTAGAAAGTATATTTATGAATCATTTTGGTACTTTTGCTTTAGAGAACATGCTTTTATCACAACAAAATGGTAAATTGTTAACATCCCCTGGTTTATGAACTTTCGTTGCTTTCTCAAGTAGATATGAATAAACCAAAAGGGAGATTATCAGTGAAGTTTAAGGATACACTGTGTTCATGAAGACATATGAAGATAGACAGAAATATGTGTGTGTTTCAGGAAAGGAAGTTAAAGGGACATCAAGGAATAAAATAAGATAGAGAGAGGAGAATCCACAGCAGGTATCCGCAGCATGAAGTGTGAGAAGTTTATGGTGGCCTCTGTACCCTTAGGCCTCTCATTTCTTCCCCAGGAGCCCTCTCACATTATCTGTAGTGGAAAATCAACTCTGTTCTCCCACACTCATTGCTCCTCCAGCGCAGACACCTCAGAAAGAGATCAGAATCTTTGTCAAAGATGAACGACTACTTTAGTGCTACCAGTGTGGTAATTGTTGTGTGTCGTGTCTCATTCGTTCACGCATTCATTCATGCGTTCATTCACTGATGAATCATTACTGAGCTCTTGCTGTGTGACACACACTTTGGTGGTTAGTGAAATGCAAAGACAAATAAGACGTCATCCCTGTTGTTAAATAATTTATAGTCCAGTGTGTTTATTCATTCAAAAATTACTTATTAAGTCCCTGCTATGTGCCGTGCAATGTTTTAGGCTCTGGGTATATAGCTAAGTAAAATAGAAAACAAAATAGCCCTGCTTTCAAAAAACTTACATGCTGGGGATAAAGGTGAGACAAACAGTAAACAAGTTAAATAATGTAAAGGTAGATCACAGAAAAATAAAACAGGAAGAGGGCTAGGGAATTTCAAGAGTAGAACGTTACAATTTCAGATGGTGTGAGCTAGGAATGAACTAGTGATAAGCCGTGTACATCTGGTGGAAGAGCAGCAGGTCAGCTGAAGGAAGGTGTGAGCTAGGAATG